CTAAACCCTAAACCCTACCCTAAAGGCCGAGCTTCAGCACTGGGCATGTCGTCCCGAAGGTTAGCAAAGTGCAGCCCAAGGAGGGCCTCTGGAAGGAGGTGGATGCCAAGCTGGCGAACGAGGCAAAGACTGCAGATGTTGGAAGGTTTCCTAATGTAGGGGCCGTAATAATTTGTGAATAGTTTTTTTTTTTGGGGGGGGTCCTTATTATAATTATAGTATACTATCCCCAAAATCCTATTGTAGTTATTAAGGCCCCTATATTAACACCCAGCACTCGCTCAGCCCCGGCCGATCCGCAGCATGGCCCGGCCAGGCTTCCGATGAGGCCTACGACGTGGCGATGGCTGCCCTGGCAAAGGCTCAGCAGGCAGAACAGGACTTTTGGGGGCTCCTTATGGTAATTACAGTATAATGTCCCCAAAATCCTATTCTAATTATACTATAATGTCCCCGAAATCCTACTATAATTATAGTATAGTACTAATGTCCCCAAAATCCTATTCTAGGTATTAAGGCCCCTATATTAACACACCAGCATTGAACTGCAGAGCTGAAAGCCTACTCCGGCCAGGTCCCAGCCGTAAGCTCGATCGCGAAGCCTTCTGGTACTGTGCAGCGGCTTTTCCGCCTGAAAATTTCAAGCAGGATGCTGCAGGAAGCTTCCAAGAACAATCATCCTACTTAACCCGGTAGATAAAATGGCAATTCGTGCAGAGATGAGCTCTGAGAGCCCTGACTTGTCTTGACTCCCATGCCACGCTTCTCCGCTGCGGCCATGGCGCCTGCGCGACACCGAAGTCCTCGGCCCCTACGACTGGCACAGGCCATAGCACAAGCTGAAGTCTAAGGCCAAGGCACTCAGGTTAATGCCGACTTAGGGACCCGCTCACAGGTGCCACTTGTTGAACCTTCCACTCTCTGTCGTCATTTCCAGGAGTTGTGAGGAACCCAAAGGAACCCAAACCCATGCATCGAGGGATATCGAAGGCCCTCAAAAAATGAGTGCAACTCAGCGGCGAGGTTGTGGCAATGGCCGGCACTCTCCTGGCTCTTTACCTCGGACTTGCAGGCTGGCGAGAAATGCAGACGCTTCAAGGCAGTCGAGTCTCTTAACTAGCATAGAAGCCTGAAGAATTGCCTTTACTATCTTGGGGATTCTTTTTTATAACTATACCATAATACGCCCCCCAAAGTCCTATTCCAATTATTAAGGCCCCTACATTAATCCTAGCGCGAAACCTCAGACCCGGAACTCTAGCCTTTAGCAAGTCGCCGAAGCTTTCTATATCTTGCTTAGACGATGGACGCCGTACTCTTAACAAAAAAGACACAAGGGCTTTAAAGAATGAGAATAGGATTTTCGAGTATGTTAGAGAACTATGCAGGGGCTTAACAGGAAGTTCGAAGCAGAACCGCTTAGTTTTTTCGCCAGATTCAACCCTGTCCAAAAGCTCTGTCGACCCTAAACCCTAAACCCTAAACCTTAAACCCTAAACCCTAAACCCTAAACCGTTGCCAAAAGCTTGCTCAGGCTTCATCGTGTGTTTCCACCCTTGGCCCGCTCATCGAATGCCCTTTCACAGCTTCCTGATTACTGGAGAAGCTGAATCCGAAACCACTGCGAGCGCGGCCTTCCCTAGATCGGTTAGGGTGCGTATTTTGTAAGTTAAATATGAGATATCGCATTTAGTACGTTATATTATACCTACTACAGAATATATAAATATATAAATAAATAAATAAATAGATAAATATATATATATACATATGTATTATATCTATATTACATGCCATAGATTCTGTCGATTACAAGAGCCTGCAAGCCCTGAGCTCCTCAAGCCTTGAAAAAAAGCCGCCTTACAGGTTCCAAGCATTTGAAGGCCGCCTTCCTCTCACCGGGGGACTCGGCGATGGCACGGACCGAAGAGGCCCGAATTTTCGCGGATTTGGGAGGGGTTTTTCGATTTTTGACGCTGTTCTTGATGAGACCTCAGAGGTGCATGTATTTCAGGGCTGCTGCACTGCTTCCTGCGGGCCTCCGAGTGACGCTTCTGCACTTTGGGGCCATGGAAGCTGAGGGCGTGCTAGCTCCTGCGCCGAGTCGAAGAGTGCCTCGGCTGGTGATATAGAACTTCCGTCCCAGCAGTGATGCTACTAGTAGTTGTCATTTCTAGCACTGGGACGATGACTATTGCTGCGAGTGTTTCTGCAGTACTCTCGCCATCTCGAGATCGTCGTCATAGCAAGGTTTCAGAAGCCCAAACCCGAAGGTCAGGGAATGGTTTAGGTTTAGGGTTTAGGGGGATCTTGAGGATTCTCTTCCTGTGTTGAACGTCCTCAGTGGTGATGCGTTCCGACTCGAACTTGAGATTCGTGGAGTCTTGCCACTCAGTTTCGCGCAAAAAGTTGGTTGAGCATCTACCTGTTCTTTTTGAACTGTTGGACCACAGGCGCATTGTAGCACGAAGTTCAATCACATTTTAAATCTTATGATGCAGGATACATTATACATTACATTTTTATGTATTTTATACCATTGATCATGTATTATAGTATGTGTTGTGCATGCTTTCCGAGATTTGAAACTCCGGAGTAGCCATGCACCACACTGCTCAGACCATTTCCAGAGCCATGCACCTCGAACATTCAATCCGCAATACCGAGCCAATGCACACACTCATTTTGCAGCTCCCAAAATTCGATCAGCGCGTTCAGTATCATTGTTCAGGGAGGTGATAACTGCAATGCTACATGCTACCAATGCCGTGAGCGAACGCAGTCACAAGGACAGTGTTGACGTCATTCTCAGGGACTTAACACGAGTGACGAATTTTGACCACGGTACACCAGGCATATCATGAAGAAGTTCTGGTGGGAGCGGTAGTAGTGGCACTGGTCTGCTTCGTTTTCGTCTTCGTCGTCGTCGTCGTTGCAGCAGTAGACGTAGCAACAACGCCAAGAACCTAAACCTTACCAATACCAAGTAGCGGCACATAGTAATAGTGGTCACGAAACGAAGACTTCGAAAGGCCCTAGACCCTGAACTTTAAACCCTAAGGAGGGCCTTGCTGGCATCGCCACCTCCCTGGCGCTCCCTTTGGCCGGGTTCTCCGCACCCGTCGGCGCGGAGGATCTGCAAGCGGCAGAGCTATAAACATGTAGCAGCAGCAGCAGCAGTAATAATTTTATCATAATTAATCGTATTATAATTAGTAGTAGTAGTAGTAGTAGTAGTAGTAGTAGTAGTAGGAACAGTAGTAGTCAGTAGTAGTAGTAGTAGTAGTAGTAGTAGTAGTAGTAGTCGTATTATTAGGAGGAGTTGGTGGTGGTGGCGGAGGTGGTGGTGGCGGTGGTTGGTGGTGGTGGTGGTTAGTGGTGTTGTTATTGTTGCCGTCGCCAGTGCTGCTGTCATAACCGCTGCTCATGCAGCTGCATCCAAGAAGGAGCGGGATGCAGCCAGAAAATATTCTCTCTGCCACAGTCTTGAAATTGAAAGACCAGCATCTGCATGAAGAGTTCAGTGAGCATTTTGGCTAGGACAGTGACCTTGAACCCATGGTTTGTACTGTCCACTCAGGAGATGTGCATGATTCTGGTGCTCTCCCGCTCGCTCTCTCGCTCTCTTTCTCGGACTGTCGTCAACAGTCCGATAACGATAGTGTCATCAACAAGCATGTTCTGCAGATCCTGTGCAGATCATCGACTGATCTCGCCTCTACTTTGGACTTCTGATCCCAAGAACCGAGACACCAGGAGGCGCCTCCTCCCCGCCTTTGGCAGATGAAGTTGCCAGAAGCCGGTTCCCCAAGACGTCATGGGTTCATACTCCGAAGCCCTGTCAAGGTATTCGGGAGTATGATGTACCAAGAGTGAGTCTGCGGGAGAGTTGCTGTCAGTTGAGACCTTTGTGGACGTTCTGGGTTCTGACAGCGCAGCCCTCTGCCCAGGGCTGGCAAGTGTTCCAAAAGTTCTCGGTACCACCCGTCACAGAGACGAGGACTAAGGACCCGGAGTGCTGCTTCAGGTTGGCAGGCTTTAGGCCCCTACAGCCTCAGATTTTGGCTTGGGCCGAAATTTGGACTTTGGAGTTAGGGCTTGGGGTTCAAGTTGCTCTGCAAGAGATTGTCGGGCTTGCAGAACTTGATACCATCATCATCATCATCATCGCCAGCCGATGAAGAGCCATGAAGAAACGGAAGCAATGCACCTAAGTTGCACATTCTACGAGGAGCTCTTGCTGGCGGGAGACCCTTCCGTGGCAGCTGGGACTGCGCATTGAGAGAGTCTAACAGCAGCTTGGGTTTGCCTCTTTGTGCTGGCGGCCTGCGACTTTAGATAATTTGGGCCTATACTATTTTGGGGGCTCCTGATTATAATTATGATGTAGTCTACCCAAAACCCTTTTCTAATTATAGGGTGTGGCCCCAGGCAGGGAGGCGGAAATTCGGATTAAATGCCTGGAACCACGAAGGGTGCAGTGCCGAAGATGGCTGTGGATATTCTGACTGTTACGAAGCGTATGATGTTGAGAATTTTCTGTATTCGAAAGTATGACTAGCAGTAGCACTTGCTTCGGGCTCAGAGGCGACGACGGCCTTCGTGAGGGTAACGTGATCTAGTACAACCAGCAGCCCATCAGCCCAGAACCGGACGAGGCGATGTGCAGAGAGAGTGATTCAGATCCCGATGCATTCTGACAGGGAGCGGAAGTGAAGGTCCTGCACATCCCGCTGATGACCACCCCGCCGCTGGTGCTGATTCATTTGTAAGCTTCTTGCAAGCTGAGAGTTTTCACTGCGCTGGTGGGGAGAGGAAACCCAATCCGGGAGCCCGTGCAATGCAAGCTGCGAGGTCGGCGTGTGAAATCCTCGCATTACTCGAATACTCTTGAAGGTGTTTCTCTCCAGCTTTGAGAGTTGGGACGAAGCGACATCAGGACATCCTAGCATAGACGTTATAACAGAGGTGGTGTTTGGGGTTCACCCAAGCTAGCGGCCTTCGTTGTTGAATGTACTGCTGTCGTCAAAGTCGAACTTCTACTGTACTTGCAGAAGCATTTTCTTCAGAGAACCGTGGCCAGTCCTCGTGCATGCCTCTTGAGAGTGAAAAGACCCAAGCTCTGAGAAGACGTCCTACACTTGGACCCTAAACCCTTAACCCTAAACCCCTAAACCCCTAAACCCGAAACCCGAAACCCTAAACCTTAAACCCTGAACCCTAAACCCTACACCTTAAACCCGTAAACCCTAAACCCTAAGCCTGAGGCAAGATCCACAGGGCACCGGGGCCCTGACCCTCATCGAGTACTTCCAGATCCCTTTTCCCAGGCCGCGCTGGGAAGGACATGCCCTGCAAGCCTTGGAACCA